GTGTAATAATAATAACAACATCAACAATACCAGCAACCATAAGGACAATAATAATCAAAAGTAAAAAGTAAAAGAATACAACAGTAACCAGAAATAATTAAGAAAATGGAAGTGTAGAAAAATACAATGGAATACAGATTCGAGGCACTCAGCCAAACACTGGGGGAAAAGTGTAACTTTGTTTTATTTTTTTCTGATATTTTGTATTGTCATCTGTTTGCCGGCTGGGATGGGATGTCCCCCCACTGTGGCCTCTTATTGTGACCCATCACACAGGAAACCTCACAGGTGTTTTAATTTGAACACGTGGTTCAAATAAAACATCTTTAAATATAATACAATAAAGTAACAAATTCATCATTGATTTTTAGAGCATTTCCAAAAAAAATGGAATATTTTATTGTAGTTATTCTGTTCTCGTACAGTAATCTGAATGTTTTTTTCTTTACTTATTCTTTTCAGTATTCACGATATAAAAGGATTGCCCCTGCAAAACAATAAACCAAATATATTTTAATTTATGACAGATTAACTTTAAATTTGCTCATATAATAGGGTGCACTAAGTCTAATCCATAACAAAAGAGCACTCGACAGAGGAAGCTTTAACAAAAAGCCCAGGCACTGATTACAGGATCATTCTGTGTATGTTGTTCTTTTCCATCTCGTCACTGAATTGCATCACAAGGAACAAGAAGAAAGAAAAAAGGCCACAGTTCATATATTTTCACCTTCACCTCATGATGTTAATACTGAAAATGAAGCATGTCTTTGAAAATGACAAAGAGAGAACATGATGAACTGAGTTAGAGGATGAGTCCACATCACCTCATGTCCATTTCTGTATTTGTGCTTGTTCTTCATTGGGTTGTTGGAAAGTCCAGTGTCCTGTAATCTATGTGGAAATTTTAAATGATTTTAAATAACTTCTTCCCTGTCATTGCTAAATTATATTATATCACTCTTTTACTTTTTAAAATGTGGGGCCGTATCCTGGTTCATAAACGTGGTCCCAAGCTGGGATGATACAGAAACAGCTGTGCAGATTTGCTGCAATCAAATTCTGAACTTTTCCAAGAAACTGTACGTTAGCCAGCCATCATCTTAAATACATTCACAACATTACCGACACATTTCTAAGTTGTGTTGAAAATCCGCATCAGCTCCACGTCTGTCTTGTTCACGTGTTTATTGGATAGCTGTAGAAATAGAAATGTTAAAATGAGACACTGTGGTTTTACCAGCGGTTAGCATTGAAGCTCTTTGTTGGGTTGCCAGGTTTGAGTTCTACCCGGCACTCTACCGACCACAAAACCCAGTGGACTCTCGGATGGACCGGTGACTAGCTTGTTAGCTAAATATGTAAATCAGAGGGCTTGGAAATTGTTGGAAGGTCTATTTTTTCTCGGAGTTAGGCAAACAGTTTTCCCTCCTTGCATTCTCTGTGCTAAGCTTGGCTAACACATCCTGGACCTACCTCTACAACGGACGCACAGAAATGAAACTGATCCGACTCGAGAGAATGTATGGTAGGGAATAACCACCGGAAAAAAACATGCCGCTTACTGTAAAAAATGTCAACAATAAGCAAAATCCAGAATTTACTGAAATGTTAAATGTCAAAAATGTATTGATTTGAAACTGCTAGTTTTGACTGTGACTCACTGAGCACTAATAATAGCACATGATTTAATACATTTGAAATACAACTTTATAAAACAGAGCTCATTAGGACCCTAAAATAAATATAATCTCAAAATGTATCAAATAGTTTGTCGGTCGGTTATTTCCTCTGCTCAGGAGGTTGTCTTCGGTTTGTCTGTCAGCAGGATCCCGGGAACCTCGTGGCTCCATTCTCACTTGGTTGAAGGGTGTAGCATGGGACAAGAAAGAACATTTACATTTTGGAGCGGATCAGAATCATGGGGCGGATACTTATTATATTTTCATTACCATTGCAAGAGAGGGCACTTGGTGTTGAAGGGGGCTCTGAGTGCCCTTCTAGTTTCTTTTCATGGTCGTCCGTTTAGAGAATCCTGTGAACGTCAATTCCTTCAACGAACTTATTTAATAAAAAGTAAAATACGCGTGAGGTTTAATAAGCTTGCGTCCCAAGAATAACATAAGATGGTTCAGAAAAAAATACTTTTTACTTATTCATGAATATGAAACTGGAAAAATATGCAATGCCTTAAGTGAAATGTAGGGCAAACAGAGATATTGGCAGGAGTTTTAAATAGCTCTTTCTTTTGGCAGTGGACGACTTACATCGTCTGTTATGTGGAGGTTGAAGAAATGAAAACACCTTCCTTCACTGTTCATTTGATCATCTTCTTTCTTTCAGAGGAATGATATGTTAGCATCCAGACTGGTCATTTGTATAACATGTTTGAAGTGATTTGTAATGATTTAATTTAGAATGATATAAATGTAGCAGATTGGCTGTCCTACTGATGTCGGTTGGTGTTCGTGTTTGAAGTATACACAGGTGTATTTAGATGGGGTAAGCTCTGATGAGAAGAGAGAAATGCTTCCTGGTTCTGACATTGCAGGGAAAACAAAGAACAGGAGCGGCCATTTTGAATTCAACTCATTATTGTAGTAAACCTGGTACAGAGTAACAGCTTACAAAGCTCATGGCACAGTCACTGAAAAAGAGAAATGAGGTGTGTATGTACAACAAGGAGGGAAAAGGAACGCCAATAGAAACATCAGGGGTAACATAAAGATGAAGATACTGTAATTCAGGAGATGACTTGATTATACAACAAAGAGAAAATACCAAATGAAGCATCGCAAAAATAACATTACGCAAAAAATACATTTAGCACTGACACTGACAGATTCAATCCTCGTGTTTAACCTTTAGGTCCAATTCAAAGTAGCTCTTCTTTTTGACAAAAAGCTCAATTTTAATGGCAAACACTGACAACTAATGACTGAACCTGCCCTGCACATGATCCGATATCTTTTTGGGAAAATAGCTGATAAGATTGTTTGCTGACGACCTGCTTCTTTATATTAGAGACATTCCAATCTTTCACTAAATGTTCATATATTAATCTTGAATCAGGTGCTGAGGGTGTTTCATTTAATCAACATGTACAACCCGTCCTGAAGAGAACCAATGCACAGGAGTCAGAGTCGGCTTGTTGTTAACTCTTTGGGTTCCTCAGTTACGTGTTTGTCATAATTTATGTAACTAAACATAAAATCATAGATTTTGTGTTACTACCCTAAAACAGTTTCCGACTAAAAAGATTAGTATTAATTTATAACCAATTTCTATTTGTTACACATTTTTGCATCTAGCAAAAGAAGGTAGTATACCTTTGAGTTGTGGTATCCTTTGTTTTGATGAATCAGCATTTAATGGAACATGAATTTTTTTGGGTCTTTTGTTCCTCCGGCTCTGACGGTGTGAGCTCAGAGGTTCATGTGACTTACACTCAGATGGTCGACCACAAACAGGACTGAAGCTAAGAAAAATCAAACAAGTTCATCATCATCATCATCATCGCCCATGGCTGGCAAGTCCTCACCCCACAGAAGATGTTTTATCACTATTTACACGTTTCTCTGCAAAAAATACATTTAAAAATGGTAATGTCATGAGGCATGGAGAATTAAACCAATATCATATATCTTTTATGATTTCTGATTCCTCGAACCCTCAAAATGTTTCCCACAGATATAAACTTAATGTTGAAAAATTAAAAAAAAAAAAATATTCTGAACCTTTGACCTCACTACATTTTCAATGTGACACATTTTTTCAACACACACTGAATTTTACGTTTTCATATTTTAACAAAAAAACCGATACAACATATTTCTAAAACACAAAGTAACAACAGTCTACATGTAAAAATATAACTTTTACATACACAATTTCAAAATAATGGTAAAGTTTGCCATTTTGTTGCATACAATTTACAAACGTCTGTGTGTTGTTGCCTTGGATAGAGAGCAGTGAGTGGAGCCGTTTTGTCCTGCGCAGGGTGCCGTACTAGTCAGAGTGTGTTGTCATTGATAACACTGAGGGGCCACTGAGGGGCCTCGCCAACTTCTGCCTGTTCAGTCTTTGAGAAAATAAGTCCTCCCCAAGCAAACAGAAAATAAAAAAATAACAGAAAAGGGCACCCTCCTTATATATTGTATATACTTTTTTGTACAGTTATATATAGATTGATTTACTCAAATAGATTCTTTTCCAGTTTCCGTGCCTTCCTGTTGATTGGGTAGGAGTGTAACCGCGTCAAAATGACCATCGACAGAGAACAACGCTGTCAGACCGCAAATTTTTTTTTTTTTTTTTTCTTTTACATTTTCTATAATATACATGTAAACCAGAACAGACAAAGAAAAAGTAATAAGAGAAAAGAGTCTTCTTAAAAAAGCAAGAGAGAGAGAGGGAGAGAGAAAAGAAAATCTGTTTTACAACATACGACCACACACTTTGTACTGAAGACTACATTGGCTTACGGACAAGCCGATCAAATATTGATAAAAAGCTGATAAGCTATAATACAAGAAGAGACGCGTAGTTCACCATGGAAACAGGGCTGGGGCTTGGACCAGGAAGGGTTTTGGGGTTCTGGAGAACTTGAGGGGGAGGAGGGGTCGGGGGCTCATCTTGCTAAATCAAGCGTATGCCTCATTGGCTCCAAGCCAGATCACGCTGTCTACTTACATATAAGCGTACAGTACATTAAATACAGGTTAGTTTTTTTTTTTTTTTTTTTTATCCAAAAAAATACTTTTTTTTCCTTTTTAGCTTTTTTTAAATTCCCAGGTCTGGTAAAAAACCTGACTGCATAGAACCTAACGACTAAGAACAGGTTTCCCTAAGCTTGCATCCTATTAAAAGACCAGGTACGTGTCCTCCTCTGGCAACTCGAATGATATGAACTCTAAAAAGGCACATTGGTAGAAATGTGAATTTTCAAATTGCATCTGTGGGACCACTTAGGTGGGGCTCTGGTTTAGGGCTCATAAGGCTAGGGTCAGCAGAGAAGACAGAACTGGGACCGGGTGTTAAACAAAGGCCTGGACTGAGGATGGTTCACACTGGGGCGATGGTGAAAGGGGACTTTCAGATTGACACCAGAAAACAATGAACGTCCTTGCAGACATTCCAATCAGTAGACCTTGATGCATAGCAATGCAATAAACACTACCATCTTCTTCCTGCCCTATCTGGTCTGGATGTATTTATTCCTCAAAGGTCCCGGTCATGACTTTTGTCACTGCCACATCCCGTTTTGTCCCGATCCTGTATCACTCCCAAGTCAATGTTCTTCCAAACTTATACACCAGGTAAGTACTGATCTGGTGTCATTTGATTCAAATATGATTTTAATTTTCATGTATATTGAGCAGACCAAGGTAATCAGAATGTCTGAACCCTAGGTCAGTACTAGATGTGAGGCTTTAGTCTCTACAATGCAATGCAGAACAGAGGACAGTTCCACATGTTGCCAGACATCAACATCCCTAGAGGATTGCAAGGCCAATGAAGTGTGTAGCAGCTAATAGTCCCAGCAACACCCAGCTAGCATCAAGTGGTCAATCAGAAAGTCCCCCAAGGTATTGACTCAGGGCAGGGTAGTCCAGTGTGCAGGTTAGGGATTCAGATACTAAACCAGGAAATGGGCAAACCAAATGAGTCCAACACACGAATGCTTTGACTACTGCTGCTTGGCCCCCAGAAGAAAAGTACACACCCCTCACCGTGATGATTGCTCCCTTGCTTCCCCTGCAGCGGTGCCATCATGCAGACCACGAGCTCCTTCCTCCTCTGCCTCTATCTCTAGCTCCTAAGGATGTTGGCCCACTTAAATCCTTTCCCCTTACCCTTCAACGACTCCCAAAACTCTCATAGCTCAGGCCCTCGGGGACATCCGGACCACTCGATTCAAGTGATCGTAATTCGGGGAATGTGCTGAAACATGGAATAGAATTCACTTCAGTGCTGAGTGCGGCCCTCTTCCCCTGTGTGTGTCATCTGTCCGTCCTCCCAACCATCTGCCCAGCAATCCTCAGACTTCAGCCAAGGCCTGGACGCCGATTAGAACTCCTGCGTGCTCTGACCTGTGGGCATGCTGATGAATATCTGACAAAGGACTCCGCTTCGGGATCTTTCTGTCGTCATGTTTGCATTCGCACTACAAACCCACAATAACAATCTCAAATGAAGGTGTCGAGAAAAGTCTTTCCTTAGAAGTACACGTTTTCATTACTGCATGATTCTTCCTTCATGCTTCTCTTCTGTAATTCTAGCCTCAATAATTGAAACACCTCAGTCCCTCTGGAGTCATTCACCGATTGATTGATTAACTGATTCAATGATTGATTCTTGAAGTGTTCTCTTCCTCCCAGTCGATACACACGGGCCATCTAGGTACAACTCTCCAGGCTTTTGTATGTGATCACACTAAAGAGTTAGCAGTTCGCACAATTTAGCCACTTGCTAACAAAGTTAACGCGGCCGTTAGCATAAAACACTAATAGAAATACACAAAGAGGTTGAGATTTTTCTTCACACAATCTACTGTGAATGTTTGCAGGTTAAGAGGGAATGCATTAGAAGGGGAAGAACGGGTTGCCCCCGTTTTTCCTGTTGAGCCCCGTTTTTCTCTCGGCATCTATGATCGTCAAAAAGCGCTTGAGAACTTAATTGGTTTGTTCGAATGACTCGGCACCTCATGTCTTCTTTCTTTTAAATGTATACTTTGATCTGTGGAAAGGTCTGGCTCGTAAGGGGACGTGTGAGTGGGCAACTTGCTTCTGTGATACTTCTTGACATTTTTTGTTTTTGTTTGTTTCGCTTCGCTTCTCCGTGTGTATCTATGTGACTGGTTTGCATCCAAGAGGAGATCAGGCACAGCTTCATCCACAGTGTGGCTTTAAGATTGCCATTCAGTCAGAGACGCGCCGGAGCTGCATCCAACGACAGCTGCGCAATGTTGCTTTAAAAAAAGAAAGGAAAACTCTTTAAAACACTTTGTGATATGTTTCGCTCCGTTCTGAACAACCCTCCACAACCCGTACCCTCCTCACCGCCCGCGTCCTGTCGCATTCTTTTAACAAGCTTTTTGTCATGTTTTCCTTTTCTCATATATACTATATATATATAGAACCATTTTGTTCTTTACAACTGGGAGTGCTGATAAAACAAGTAGTACAAGAAGAAGAATTTCTTGGATGATGTGATCGCAAAGACTTGTCCATTGCTGTCACTTTGTGTCAAAAGCTCCCACAAACCGTCACTTTTGTAGCAGCCGGTGTTACAGCTCAACGTCTCCACAAAGCAGCATCCAGTTCACTCGGTGACCAAAGCATCTACTGTGACTCTGCAGTTCGTGTTCTCGACAGAAGAAGGAGACGGAGGTGAGGAGGAGGATAAGAGACAGACGAGAGGAGAGAGAGAGAGGCTGATCTGAGTGGTCAGGCCGGAGATCCAGAGATCGGGGTGGGGGGGGGGGGGGGGGGGGGGGGTCGATCGATTGCCGGGCTGTCATGGAAACGCTGTCAGAGGAAGTGGTCACTCATCATCTTGATGAACTCTGGCACCTTGGACCTGGAGACAAAGAGAAGATAAAAGAAGAGGGGGGTGGGTTAGGAGGCACAAGTACTCAAGTTTATGCAGTCAAGAGGAAAAGCTCATGAAGTGTCAGAATAGAAAGGGAACATGTTCTGGGGAGCATGACTGTGCTCATTAAATTCCAGGGTCCATAAACATCTTTTTGGGGGTTATTTTCCTTAAAATAAAGATCTAGACAATTCTGTCACTAATCGCCATTATTTCTCAACTGAAATAAATGATTGTGGACATTTTGGCCGGAAAGTGATGCCAGAGTAAAATTCTGCACTGACCAAATCATTAGCATATATCCTCTGGCGACCATGAATATTCACAGCAAATCTCATCACATTCTGGTCGGTCACACTTAAAGGGACAGTGCGTAGGATCTAGCGGTGTGGTTGCAGATTGCAACCACATAAACACCTCTCCGCCCACTGTTCCCTTTACATGACTGCGTCATGACTTGGTCCTAACTCTTAGTAAGAATGTACATCTTTAGGAAACTAAGCGGCTTTAAAATATTTTGGACCCAGATAAATCTGTACGTATTTATTACTTATTTACCCCCCCCCCCCCCCCCCACATTGTATAAAGAAGAAAAGCCTTTACTTCATTTCTTTCACTGTAAAGCTTTTGCAGATAAGAAAGTCTGACTGACTTCGGTCACTCCTGCTGCTTATCGAGGACCTTTGGTACCTCAAGACTACAGAACATCGGGATACAAGCTCAATGAAACAGTCGACCTGTTCCACAACTCAACATTTCTAAAGTAGCAGAACAAAGAACAGCGACAGACACACACACAGTCACACTTAAAAATCACACTTACTGCCAATCTGTTGTTAAAATGTACCCAGACCAGACAGAAACTCAAGTTGTGGCCTCTGACTTTAGACAACTGAAAGATCGGCAGCTCTGCCAGATATTAAGCACCAGGAGCTGAACGACGCACTTCTCCAAATTTGTTCAAGAGATGGAAGTATTTGACCTAAAGGGCATTTGGTCTACATGTTGCCTGTGTCAATTTAAACCTTTTATTTCTCCCCTGCATGAGAGTGACAGTAAAAATGATTTAAAAAAAAGTCAGAAGACAAAATAATGATATATTTTCATCAGTGAATTTAAAGTTTAGAATGGTTACCAATGAGCAAATTGATTGGTTGGTTTGATGATATAAATAGTTATATAACACATATCTTTAAAGTTTGTTTTTGTGACTATAATTCTGTTCAGCAGGAAACTAATGGCTCAAAAGTACACAGACATCAAATTAATTTGTATCAGACAAACGATAACTTGCCCATATTTTGACCCTGAAAGCAGGAACGTCCTTTTCCAATTCAGTGATTGGGAGCCCAAATGTGATAATGAAGCATATATTCTATTAACCTCAACTTATTGTCATTGAAGGAATGTTTAGTTTGCCAAGTGATTTAACAAACTGATTGCTTGAAGTTTCTGGTCTGGTTTCTGAATTCTTTGGTTTTAAGTTAAAGGTACAACAGCAGATTAGTGACTAAGTGAAACCTTCTGACCATTCGGGGGGGGGGGGGAGATGTTGCTGCGTCTTACATTTGTCCCAGGGGGTTGGAGGCGTCGCTCATGGCGTGGTGCGCGGCGGCCAGTGAGAGGGAAGCCCCGTCCGATGACACGTTGCCCTTCTCCTCCTCGCGACGCTTCAGACAGGCCGCCTTGGGGTTCAGGTTCCGCTCTGGACCGAGGGAGAGAGGGGGAGAGATTGATATCATCCCTGACTGTGTTTTTCACTGACGTATGTCTCCGTGCTGGGTCACTACACAAGTAGTGACACTGAAGCCAAAAAAGCCAGAAACTTCAGCCAGGTTGAAGACAGTCAACAGGTGCCACTGCTGCCCTCTCCTGGAGCTCTTGTAGCACTACATATGCTGGATTTGTAACCTCATGAACCTCGATTTCCATCTTAAAGTAATTTAAGATTTAAAATAAGGGAAACATTTTGAAACTTCAGAATATAAAACATTTAGATCATTATCTTTAAGATCTCAATGTCACTGCAGCTACAGTTGCTTATTTCATACTAAATAGAATAAAATGAAATCTCACATTTTACCACGTTCTTATCACTAATTTCGATTTTTTAAGTTATAGTAAATTTCAAAGAGTGTTCCATCACAGCCGACTAGATGAACGACTGCAGTCAGTGATCAGTGACCGTTTAACTGGAGCCTCTTAAACTAGATCTCGATCACTAGCACGGCCAACTGTCCAACTTCTTCATTTTATATAACGTGTGTATAGTAAATGGAAATATTATTTATTCATTACTTTCACAACCATGTCAGTTGAACAACAAGCTGCAGAGTATTAGTGTGTTTGTGTTTTTATGATCATAACGAACAATAAATTGTTGTAATAAATACATGAATAAATAAGCAGAAGAGGATAAAAGTAAAACCATTAGTGAGGTCTACGTTTGCGTGTCTAAATTGAACCGACCTCGGACTTGCTGCTCCAGGCTGAGGATGACGGCCACGGCCTGGTGCAGGATCAGTAACTTGGTCTGAGGCTTGTCGCTCTTCAGGTGCAGCTGCACCATCTTGCCCAGCTCCTTGAATGCCTCGTTGATGTCGCGGACCCGCAGACGCTCCCGCGCGTTGTTCGCCATCCTCCGTTCCCGCTCTCTCTCCATCTTCTGCTCCGGAGACAGGTCCTCGTCGTCGTTGTTGCTACGGTGACCAACGACGGGCACGGGAGTGGGGAGAGCGAGGGAGGAGGAAGCAAGGGGATGAGGGTAGGAGAGGAAGGAGGAAGAGGAGGATTTGAGGATGAGAGCTCTTTTTTTTTTTTGCTTCACAAGATGATTCATTAAGTGATGAAATAACAGGGAGCAGGGCCTGGAAACAGACATCATGTGCTGCCCCGGTGGTCCTAATCCTGTCTGGAGAAACTTCTTCATTTAACGTGAGAAGAGTGCTTCTGCTTTCTTTGTTGTTTTTGTGTGAAATTTGACTTTTCTGATGGACAGAAACATGCTAACACCAACATATAGGCTTGTTTGCAAACCAATATGATGACAAGCTCATCCAATAGACTGCTGAAGGCGGGCAGTGGTATTTCATTTGGGTGATTTCAGACACAGCTTTACTGTAGATGGACATAAAGGCTTTAGGTTGTAAAGTTGTATAAATGCTTCATGCAACCTAATTTTCACATATGCCTATACACTCATCACTCTAGCTGAAAACAAGTTATCTGGAATTAAAGAAGACACCGCAAACATGGGCGGGTCATGTTTAAGGTCAACACGGTTTGCTGGATCACATGATGATACGTTTCCAAACTCTGCAGCACAGCATGGGCAACATATGTCTTGTCTTTATCATCAAACTATCTGCATCATCATCATTATCGTCATCATCATCATCATGACCACCACCATGATGTACAATCTTTGAGTTTGGGATCCAGATGTTTGGGATGTTCCTCCAGATGAGAAATATCAATGGAGGGGTGAAGGCTGCTCAGCTGCATCCAGAGCGGGAAATAAACACTGTGACCAACATTGATCTTTCTAATACTTCAAATGTTGCCGGCCTGACTCTCCATATAATGAGTGGGTTTGAAATATGTTAAAAAACGTCTTTTGAAGGCTTATTGTTTCTCGCAAAACAGCAAGAATACTCATTACATTCACCAAGGAGGTTGTGTTTTCGGTTCACTTCGTTTGCTCGTCAACAGGATAACTGAATAACTGCTGGCCTGATTTTCCTGACACTTGGTGGAAGGCTGTACCAGAGGCCAAGGAAGAACCCATTACGTTTTGGAGTGGCTTGGCCTTGGTGAAGGTCTGCGTTCCCCAAGTGCCCTTCTAGCCACCTCCGCCAACAATGTTGTGTTTTCGGTTAACTTTATATCTTTTTTCAGCAGGATTATGGAAAAACCACAGGCCAAGAAACGTGGTGGAAGGGTGTAGCACGGTCGAAGAAAGAACTCTTTCAATTTGGGAGTCGTCACCAAGCGGGTGGGCACATCAATAATCACTTGTGGAAGCCGTCTTTGGTGGGCGCTCTCTCCAAGTCTTCAATGTTTCTGTTAGTGTTTATTCCCCAGCTCTGAATGTGAGGCAGCACTTTTTGGAGAATGTTGACCGTGGGCTCTACTCTGTTGTGTGAGAAACAGTTAAAACCGGGCTCAAGACCAAGAAGAGACTTCATGTTCACCAGAAACCTCTCTTTATATTTAATATTACAGTTTTGTAGTTGTGAACATGTTAAAAAAAGAGAGATGTCTGGTGGACATTACACATACAAGAAGTATCTGCATTAACTGATGTATTTAGCTGCTTCTCATCACACTTGGTCACTTCATCAAAGTCCAGAGGCTGGTTCCCAAAACCCCCACAGCTGACAGTCCTTCCTTTAGTCCTCTCTCTTCAAAAAAAACACAAAACACTGTTTATCTGTTCTTTTGACCTCAGCTGACCACTGATCTGTGGTTGCCGCTCAGCGGTGGAAGAATATTTGAATAACTCAATCAATCCAAAGTAGAGGCATGTAAACCTCTATAGATTCTTTCAGAAAAATGACTTAATTTCCAAGTTTACAATTCCTGCCCTATCCTCGGAATATGCTGACTGACGTCAGGAAGGTCTGTGAGCGCGTTGGGGTTTTGGGTTCAACGGCGGTCCCAGCCCAGCTGAGGGGTTCGATGTAAGCGAACGTCTGTGGGGTACCTGAACCTAGATCTTAACCTCTCAATTGATTTCAGGTCCTTGCTGTCGCCGTCCTCCTTCTTGGCGTCCATGGACTTCGGGTCCTGCAGGAGGTTCTCGTCCCCCTCGTCCTCCGACTTGATCTCCGAGCCGACGGAGGAGGTGCTCTGGCCCTGAAGACCTCCAGACAGGGCTGCAGGAGGAAGGAGAGGAGGGGTTAGAGGGGGCACATAGAGGAATACAATGTACGACCACTTGTTTATTAGGAGTCCGACAATCTCTGTAACCTTCACGACAATTGGACTTGACCACTTATATTTGACGTGATTGCTGTCGTAGTAATTGTCCTCAAAGAAGTAGTCTGAATGACCATATAAGGGACAATTCAAAACATGTTAGTGAAAGTTTAAACTGTTTCAACTTGAGTGAAAGATCCACAACCATTTTGCATTGGCCATTACTTCAAACGCCGAAAAAAACCTATTGGGATGGATGAGGCAACACAGTGATGATGGATGTGAGGGTTGGAATTAGGAGAAACAACCAAAACTAATCTCAAAATTATGATATTTCTTCAAAAAGGTCTCATTTAAAATGTTGCCAAAAAATAAAGTATCTGCAGCAACCAGATCCTGACGTGCCAGAGACCAACAGTCAAGTGACAAAAAACACTTTGAGTGAACTGCAGGCTGCTGAACACAGAGCAGAGAGGTTGTAAGTAGAGATTGTAACAATGTAAATATGTATAGCATGAAGAACCCATTTTTAAAACTAACATAAAACAGTGCATAATTATGTGGATAAAACGGCTAATTTAGGCAAGTTGTGGTTAAAAAAAGAAAAAAAAAGAATATGGACATGGTTGCCATTCTGCTGATGTAGCGTGAATGCAGCATCGGGGCCCGTGTGAACAGCTAGTTCACCAGTCGACCTCCGAGATGGAGCCGTTGGGAGAGTTGCGGTGCAGACGTAAAGCTGGGGGCTCTGTGCCCTCTATGTTCCGCTCTCCTCAGCCGAACACAGCCGTCTTTATTTGACGTCTGTATGGATCCGTCGCTGGGACGCTGCCAACTTCTCAGTCAACAGAAAACACTCCCACACACACACACACACACACACACGACCAACGATCGGCCATTTTGAATCTCCGTCTGCCTGACTGGAGGCATTTTGTCTGCAGCTTTGAGTGACGGCCTGTGTTTGGTTTGTGTGCCAGCGTCTCTTTCCATACAATTGCTGTGTTGTTTGTGCACAAATAGCTGCATTTACAAAAAAAAAAGGATTTAAACTGTGAAAAGTGTCTCTGTGCCTCTGAATGTCACTGGAGGAGACTTAGTGTGTGTGTGTGTGTGTGTGTGTGGGCACATATTAACTCCAGGCAGACGTTTGTTCGCTCTGCAAAAGTGACAAACTGAAGTAAACCCAAAGATGTCAGAATGCGGACTAAATCGGCTTGTTTTGAATGTGCTGTTAATCAACTACTGTCCCACAATTCATTGCACAGATGAAGTGGAGGAGCTGCTCAAATCTGCAAGTCATTAAGGACCCTGAAAGACAATTTCCTGCCAAAGACGGAGCAGTTTTCTATGTAATTGCTATGTTTCTATAAATCCTAGTCTCCTATCAAGATATAATATGAAATAAAAATATAATCAGAGTGAGATGATAGTTGTTGGGGTGTTTGGTCACTGTCAATCAAATCCGATCAAACTACACCCACACAATGCTGCCGAGGCGGATTAGCTGAGTTTTTGACTGTTAAACTCAATGAATATCACCTAAAGATGCGTCTTTAAAGGTGTCGCTTGTGCAGTCATGAATATTCAATGTTGTGGAGCGACGATGAACATTTGAAGCCAAGTCTTCAGGGACTTTTTAAAATATTTTGCGTATGGTTGTGGAACAGCTACAGGAAGAAAAAATAAAAAAGCTATATTAAATCTACATTTTTCCTTCCTCCTTCTTAGGGTTAATATGGCTTCCCAAAGTGGCAGTTTGTGGCGCACGTCGCATTATTTACTCCAAATGTTAGAAAGAACGCTCATAGCTGATGACTCCTCACCTGGTGATTTAGGACCAGCTGCCAGCGCTTAGTGCTCTGTACAACTGTGGGTGAACTGACCCTTTAAATGAAGTCGGTAGTATATAAATTCACTAATCATTATAGGAAATTAAATAGAATAAAATCATCCAACCTGCTCCAGAGAGATGAAAGCAGTTTGAAAGAGAGTATAAAATATATAAAATGTCTCATGAATGTATACATAATATACTAGGAATAAATTATAAATCTTCACTTCTTTATTATTATTTTGAAATTGAGATTGGGAGAGGGGGAAACCACAGCTCTGCTACCGAGTTTGAAGTGTTTGTTTCCAAAACCATTTTAATGCCCTCTATTTACAGCCTCTACACACACTCAACTGTGTGTGTGTGTGTGTGTGTGTGTGTGTGTTCTCTCTCTCTCACCTCATTACACACACTTGGCTCTGGCTGCTGCTCGCTGAACTTTCCCTGCCAGCAGACTCATTTTCAGCCTTTAAAAAAACGAGCTCAGGGCTAATTTGCTCCACAGCGCGCTCATATACACTTCTCCTCCTCCATATTCATATAACACACAGCACACACACACACACACATATATATATATATATATATATATATATATATATATATTTACACCCCTCGTTAGGTTTTTTTTCCTTTCTTGCCAGCTGAGACCAGACTCCACGCGTCAACTTTCTGATCCTCGTTCTCGGATAGTTTCCTCGTCTTCACTGTTTTTTCGTCATTTGTTTCTCTTATTTTTCCTGCTATTCCTTTTCATCTTCTTTGTTTTGTATCCCAATGTTTCCCTTCTCTCCATTTGATCTCGTCTTCCCTTATTTCCTTTTCTTCCACTTCATCTCGTTCTTCTACATTTTCTTTTTCCTTCTCCTCGTTGCCTTTCCTAATCACCTTGTTTCCTCTTTCTTTCTCTTCCCTCCTAATCCTCCTATTTATTTTAAATAACGGTCTTCCGTTATCTCTATTCTTTGATTTGTTGCTCTTCCCTTTCTGCTTCCTCTGACTTGTGATTGTCTTCTTCCTCTTTCTCATCATTTACCTCCACTTTCTTCATCGTCCTCTTTTCCTTCTTTTCTTCTTCTTTGTTTTCCTGACTTTCTTTTTCATTTCAGCACTTCGTCTGCCTCTTAATCTTCATCCACTTCTGCAAATTCCACTTTGACTTTTCTCTTCCTTTGCTTCCTGTTCATTAGTTCTCATTTAATCATTATTATACTACTATGTGGAGCTGCAAATTTGGTGTGTGTTTGTGTGCGTGTGCCTAAGTGCATGATGGGATACCAGTGGGATGCCTGTGCTTAAATGGGAACACACGCATGCAACAAAAACAACAGATGCTGATACAGTTTCTCCACCAGCGACTGTTTGTTCTTCTCTGTGATCATCGTTCACTCACTAAGACAAGACGGACACACCGATGTAGTTACTTTTTTTAAATGTATAATTAATAAATGTCTATAAGAAGAAGTAACAAACAAAGAAGGAGAACAACGCTGATATTGTCCGAGTCTCAGTGTGTCTACGTTACTGGTGTTTAAAAAGTAGGGTGGGTCTTACCGCGGTACGGGTCGGGCTGGTTGAGGTCCGGCGACGTGGCTGACTGAACCGGCAGCTGAGGCCCCGGCCCCTGACCCGCCATCGAGTGTCCGCCGCGCAGAGGGCCCACGCCGTCTTCTCTGTGAGAGCCCCCCTGGATAACAGAGAGAAGAGAGATGGTGAGATTATTCATATCTTTATATTTAAACAAGCAGCTGTGCTCTGATTCCCTCTGCATCTTCTAAAGTCCAGGTGTAGTGCGAGCCTCTTCCAGGTCTGAACTGGTGGCTCTGAACTCCCTTGGACTAACATTAGGTTGCGTTTAATGACATTATTATTTATGACAGTTTTGAAAAAGGTCATATACTTTCTTCTTTTAAATCAAATTGCTTTGTCCTTTTGTCTTGTCCTTCCGTCTTTAAAGGATAACGCTTAAAAAAGCAACAGTGTCTCTGAATGCTGTCTTCTCTCCTCTGACTGGTTATTTCCCACAACAGCTGGTGGCTGCAGGTCTTACGATACACATTTGGTGCTCCAGTGAGTATTTGTGGCAGCAGGACAGTGTAGGTGGGATTGACTCAAAATAACCGAGTGTGTGTGTGTTCATGGTTTATTTTACAGGGATTTTGCTGGTTGGAATTTTTATTTTTTGTGTAAATATTTAAACAAAAAAACAAGAAAATATGGTTCAAACTGTGGCAACATTTTTTATTTTGTGCGATATAATTCATAAAACTTGACTTTCAATCAATCAATCAAGTTGTGTTCATACAGCACCTTTCAAAGAAATCAAATGCAATTCAAAGTGTTTTACAAATGATTGTTATGAAAATGGAGAAACGATGGAGAGATTAATGGATATGAAATTAGGGAAAAAAAAAAGCTTCATTTGTTTTGACTTGTGTACTACCCTCGGTAGTGGCATGTTGTTGACAAGTATTTTATTAATCCTATTAAGTCCCTTATTTACTTAAAATACATAAATTATGTTTTATCTATCTATCTACATTTTGTCCCGTTTAACTGTTTGTCCCGTTTAAAAGAGAGTAACTGTCCTTATACTAAATCTTATTGTTCCTTGTTGCACTTTAAGCCAATAGAATGTTACGTGACTAGAACCAATTGTATCTAATTGTTTTTGTATAAATCCTAATGTGAGAACACCAGAGGAGGGGAAGAGAGATCTCACTCTCCAACACTACAAAACAATTACCAAATTAGATGGTCATAAAAACCAACAGTGGAAAATCGATCTAACTCTGGAATAGTCCACATAAAATGATGTCGTTCCCCTCCAAATGTTGTAGTTCTGTAATTGGCCTGCTGAGGGCATCCTCTGCCTTTCTAAGACACTGATCTCCATCTGACACTCTCTCTCTCGCTCTCTCACACACACACACACACACACACACACACACACACACACACACACACACACACACACACACACACACCATTACGCTCTATGTTTAAAAAAAAATGTCCTCTCCATTTTTCCAGTACAGTACAACTCAGATGGGCAAACTGTGCTCTGCTCCTCCAGACTGCCTACACTTGTGTGTATCTTTGTGTGTGTGTGTGTGTGTGTGTGTGTCTCGGTCCAGGTTCATATCTGCATGTCTGACATGTATATTTACACTTTTAGTTGTTAGTTTTTTTTTTTTTTTTCACTGTTTTTTTTTCCTACTTTTTGGAACTCCAGTGTGTCATGTGTGTTATCGTGGAAATACTGTAGGGCTCCATGTGTGTGTGTGTCTGTTAGTGTGCTTGGCTGAATCCTATCCATCTGTCTGCCACACGCATGCACACGCGCACACAAACACACATGTATACACGCATGTACACGCGACAGCACAACAACTGACAATTATCTTAATGCCCATATGTTTAATTGTGGGATTTCTAATTCCCAGAACACCGAGCAGCTTCCAGCAGGGACTCACTGTTTTGGCACAAAATGGGCTCTCTTCATGTGTGTGTGTGTGGGTGTGTGTGTGTGTGTGCGATGCTAGCTTTCTCGTGGCATCCTGCGGTTCAGAACAGTCTCCCTCTCTCTCTCACCCTCCTTTTCCTGAGCTTTTTCCTTTGAACATATCAGCAGGACAGTGGCCAGATATGAATAATAATAGATATGTTTCTGTATAAGCTGGTACATGAATGTTGTGTACATGTTTTGAACAACAGGAAGCCCAATGGCAGTGTGGGGGGGGGGGGGGGGCTCTAATGGTGTGATGATCACAGGGGTCTGGTTATTTGCCCTCACCAATTACCTAATTCATGAAGTGAAGACACACTGGGAGAGGGTTAAAGTTCATAGACGAAAAAACACGGACAACTCCCAGACCAGACGGCTCTGTGGTAGCGACCTGTCAATCAGAAGGTAGCCCCGCCCTAAAGCATACTCTGCTTTATGGTCTGTTTGACTCTAAATGGACCATCAATTACGAAATGAACATCATGCTGTATTGAAGAAGACTTGAAACTAGAGATTGAGACCATAACCTCATGTTTACAATGTTTACTGAGGTAATAAATCAAGAGAGAAGTAGAGTCATTTTCTCATAGACTTCTATACAACCAGAGGAGTCGCCCCCTGATGGCCAGTAGAGAGAATGCATCTATATAAAGGTCTTTAATTAAACTGACACAGGGCCCTTAAAAAAGACTGCCTTGGCTAATATTGGTGCTAGTTTCCTGAAAGAAATTGTGATTAATAAGATTACTAAAACCAACTGACAGTGAACGTGGGCCTTTTGGAGCCCTTTGGGTTGTGGGTCTGTTGAGTACATAAGAAGGGTTCTTCTTTTGGGAACTCAGCGAATGCTTTGAGAATATTATACTCATATTTGGAGCAGATTATAACAGATCATGAATACCGAACCGAACCTCTCAGTCTAGGGCTGTGCAATTAATCAAAATCCAATTTTGGCTTCCAACGATTATGAGAAGAGAATAATGGACATTAAAAGGTTATTGTGCCGCAACCCTTTTCGCAATGACGCTCCCGTTTTTGTCCTTGTGATATATAAATCCAGCGCACCCCGTTCCTTTACAGCGGTGCCCTTTTACAAAGCTATGTGGCTGGGACTTTGTTTTGCCATGTCAGCACCATTCATATCTATACAACCAATGTGTTCATGATTAAAGTGTTTACAAGAGCACAAAGCTCTTATAGATAGCCTCTTTATTTTGCTCTCATAGTGCCCCAACTTGATGCATTACACTTTAAAATGTAGGCTACAAAATGTTGCATGACGTTTCCAAAGTCAATGAGGAATCAACTTAATTGATGGTGATCTCAATATTGACCGAAATCATCGCGATTATGATTTTTTTCTTCCATAACCGGGTAGCCCTACCTCTGTCTGTCTGTTAATCCAGCTGGCTGACAGCGAGGTCTCTCCCACCGTATGCCAAACTCCCGTCTCACTCCATGCAAATATCACAAAATGTCAACTCCCTTGTTTGCATGCGTGTGTATTCACTGTGTGTGTGTGTGTGTGTTTCAAACTGAGCGTCTATCCGTCCATACGTCTGTTTGCTCCCTTATTTATTATTTGCCTCTTGTCTTTCTTTCCATCTATTGGTTCTGTTCACCGCCTTTCATCACTGCCTGGATTCCCAAATGTGAAATGGCAGCAGCGAGGGAGACAGAGAGGGTGGCGTACATTTTTAATGGAGGGCTTTTATATTTTTAACAAGCCTTCCCTCTCTCTTCCTTCATTCTGTTCAACGAGGAGACAGACGGAAGACGAAAATATAAATAAATTAGGCATAAACTGATCTGCTGCCGGTGTTGCTGTCATTGTCACTGTGAACCACAGCCACGCCCACTTCACACCCACCGTCCCTCAGGTTCAAGACATCCGATTGGATGATAAAGCCAATCGTGCAGCCAATAACAACATGGAAGCGGCAGTGAAAATGTTTTGTCAGCCACGATTGCGGGCTGCGGTTGAAAGCTACGGGAAAAAAGTTTGGAGGTAGATCTTATCTTAAAATGTCAATGTGTTCACTTTTGTTTTGGTCTGTTCGTTTTTTCAGAGTTGCATTCAAGGACGCTCGGCCATCTGCGATTTGATTGATGATTGCTGAAAAAACATCTCAGTCATGAGATGTTGTGTCTGAAAAATCAACCCCAGACAACAAATGAGACCCACATGTGGTTGCTGTGAAACATTTGAAGCGAATATTGTTTGATTGATTTAAAATAATAATAAAAAAGATAAAAGTAGCTGTTCAGCAGCCAACTCTCAAAACACAGATGTCGGAGAGTCCTAATGCAGGAACAGAGAGTTTTCGAGGCGCTGCTAACAACTGTATTATCACAAGAACATAACAAAAGGAAAAAAAGAAACTTTTCTTGTTGGTGCGTTCAAGGCCCCTCTAAAATCTGTCATTTTCAATCTGTTGTTTGCCGAACACCAAACCAAAGTCACGATTCTTTACACAACATCTTGACGTGACGAGTCGGCGTAGTGTAGGAGGTATTGGCGAATGCTAGTCGAAGCAAAGTGCTACTGGCTAAGACTAAGAATCTGACGGGACATTTATACCTTTTTTTTTGTTTGATGCCCAAACAAAAAAAAGAGTTTGACGGCCAGCTCTATACAGTATTCCAACACAAATAATGCTATGTGACAGGGAATATTAATTATTTATATATTTACTTTTAACGGTCACTGAAAACCTTTATCCGCGGATGTTATCACCGTCTCTTTCTCTATTCTTCTACATGCTACTTTTCTTCTCCGCTCGGAAAAATGTTATTCCAATAAAGCAGATTGGAATTAAAAAGAGCCCGATGGAGGAGGAGGTGCTGAGTAGCTGTCATCTGCAATGCTGTTGATTAGTGGGAAGTGTGTTCATTTTGTGTGTGTGTGTGTGTGCTGATTACACAGGAAGAAGAAGAAGAAGAAGAGAAAGAAGGGAATTTCTGGGTCAAGAGATCTCTCTCTCTCTCTCTCTCTCTCTCCCTCTCTCTCTCCAACACATACGTGCATACACAAACACACGCAGACAGGTTTGTCATGCAGCTGTAAACGGTAGGGACAAGTCGGTCTCTGCTGCTGCCGTAACGCGTCCGAGGGAGTTTACCGACTCTGTATATTGTAATATTTCCCCCTATACTAGACGGATTTCTGCAATTTCCTG